GGGCTGCGTGGAGAAGTCTCTGGGGGAGTGGTCAGGACTCATGGGCGGGGGGCGGGAGGCAGGGCAGTGTGGGGGGCTGGGGGAGTGGTGAGGACTCTGGGGGAGTGGTCAGGACTTGGGGGAGGAGGGGAGTTGGGGGGCTAGGGGAGTGGTGAGGGCTCTGGGGTGCTGGGGGAGCGCTGAGGTGTGGCTGCCTGGTGAGGACTCTGTGGGGGCTGGGAGAATGCCCAGGGGGCTACCTGGAGAAGGCTCTGGGGGAGTGGTCAGGACTCTGGGGGGGACGGGAAAGAGCTTGGGGAGTGGTGGGGGGGGCTGGGGGAATGCCCCGGGGGCTGTGTGCCAAGGCCTGAGCTGTTGTGTGTTGCAGGGAGCCCGGTGTATAACCTCTACGCCCTGTGCAATCACTCGGGCAGCGTGCACTATGGTCACTACACCGCCTTCTGCAGGGACCAGTCCGGCTGGCGGGTCTACAACGATTCCCGGTATGTGGGGGGCAGGGTGCTCCTGCAGCCATGGCACTGGGGTGGGCGCAGGGTGAGATCCTGAATCCCCTAGAGGAGGCCAGTGGGCCTATAGCTGCGGGTCTGTCTCTGGGTGTGATACTGGGACGTGCTGCAAGGAGGGAGGGTCCAGCCCTGGTATAGTGGGGTCCTGTGCCCATTGGGCATTCCTAGGCCCTGCACCGATGACAGGCGTTCCTGGAAGGGGCTGCCCTTCGCCTGCCGGCTGGCTCCAGGGCTCCCTCTCTCTCTCTCTCTGGTGCACTGGCTCACTAAACTGCTCTGAAAGCTGAGAACCCCCTGCCCTGGGGCAGCCAAGCCTGCTCCCTGGGCAGTGATGGCACACAGTGCTGCTGGCAGCTGCTACTGTGTGGAAATAGAGCTTTCGCTGGCATGGCCCTGGCCCTGGGGGGGCGCTCGTGGGCTAGGCCAGGCCGGGTGCAGAGCTAACGCCATCTCTTCCCTGCAGCGTGTCCCCACTCAGCGAGAACCAGGTGCAGTCTAGCGAGGGCTACGTGCTCTTCTACGAGCTGGACGACCACCACGGGAAGAAACAATGAAGTGTTGGACCCTGGCGCCTGCGCCGCAACCCTCTTACCTCAGAGACTGAGCCCGGCTCTCGGGGATCCTCAGTCCCCCACAGGCCTGGAGGCGGTGTGGGGGATGGGCAGCCCACCTGCTCACCAGTGCCTGGGGGAAGATGAGACGTGCCGACCCGCTGGACAGGGGCAAGGGGCCTGGCCTGCCCATCGCTGGGTATGGGGGGGAGGGGCCTGGCGTGGCCCCTACCCCTGCTGTTCTGGCACAGTGGGGGGGCTTTGTGCACACAGTAAGGCTGTAAATAAATCCCGGAGCCACCCCCCAGGCAGGAACTTTTTGTGAATAAATTTACTAAGAAAAGTGCCCAGGCTCTCTGTGGGGGGAGAAGGACCCTGCTGGGCGCTTGGGCTCATCTCTTCCCCCACCCCTGGCTGGCCTCGCCTGTGTCTGCCTGGCGCCAGGACCATCTGCTGCAGGCCGAGGTGGAGGAACCTGCATCTGCTGTCCTGGGCCTAGAGGCTTAGTGCCGAAGGGACGGGAGAGCCGAAGCACGCGCACCTTGCACGTTATGCTGGGAAGGAAGCCCGGGCTCAGTGCACATGGCCAGCCCCAGGTGAGATCGGCCTGGCCAGCAGACGGGGCCCAGAACACAATGCCGTTGGCATGAGAAACACCGAGAGCCTGGTACGGCAGTCCACGCCATCCAGACCATTAATGAAGATATTGAACAAAACCGGCCCCAGGACCGACCCTTGGGGCACCCCGCTTGAAACCGGCTGCCAACTAGACATGGAGCCATTGATCACTACCCCTTGAGCCCGACGATCTAGCCAGCTTTCTATCCACCTTACAGTCCATTCATCCAGCCCATACTTCTTTAACTTGGCGGCAAGAATACGGTGGGAGGACGTATCGAAAGCTTTTGCTAAAGCTTGCCCTGGGGTTGAGCACTTGGCTCAGAGCCAGGGGGAGGGAATGGGCGCAGGCCTATTTAAGGAGGGGGGGGGGAATTGCTCTGGGCCAGGGGACTGACCATTGCCATGTGTAAGAGGGGCTCACAGGAGCACAAGCGCAGGATGGACTCTGCCTAGTCTGCACACCAACTGGGTGGAGCTCAGATGGAGGGGGTGTGTCTGAGTGTGTCCTATATTTGTGTTGTTTCCAAAGCTGTGTCACTCGAGGACTTTCAGTGTAAAGTCACAGTGGTTGAGGGTAGTTCTCTGAAAACAACTGCTCAGTGAGCAACAGCAGTCAGAAAAGCCAACAGAAAGGGAGGCACCACTAGGAAAGCGATAGTAGCATCCTGATATTTTGTCATTATCTATCTAAATCCCTGGTCTGCCCATGCCTGGAATACTGTGTGCAGATCTGGTCACCCCATCTCCTAACAGATGCATTAGAACTGGAAAAAGTACAGCGAAGGGCAACAAAACAGATGAGGGGGAAATGGAACAGTGTCCTTTGAGGAGAGATTAAAAAGGGGTGGGGGACTGGTCAGCTTGGAAAAGAGACAATGAAGGGGGGATACGATAGGTCTATAAAATTGTGAGTGGTGTGGAGAAAGTGATGAGACTTATTTACCCCTTCACATAACACAAGAACCAGGGGGTCACCGAATGAAATGAATAGGCAGCAGGTTTAAAACAAACAGTTGGAGGTACTTCACACGACAGTCAGCCTGTGGAACTCATTGCCAGGGGAGGGCATGAAAGCCAATGGTATATCTGGGTTAAAAAAAGATTTAGCTGAGCTCCTGGAGGTGAGGCTCATCAAGGGCTATTAGCCAGGATGGGCAGGGATGCAACCCTATGGCTCTGCCTGCCAGAAACTGGGAGTAAACGCCAGAGGCTGGATCACTTGGTAATTGCCCTGTTCCATTCATTCCCTCTGAAACACCTGGCACTGGCCGCTGTTGGAAGACAGGATACTGGGCTGGATGGACCATTGGTCTGATCCACTATGGCTGTTATGTGGTTCAGCAGTTCCCTTGCTCAGCCTGCGTTGTCCCAGAAGGGGTTAAACTAGCAGCCAGGAGTGCCCACAGCCGCAGTGGAGGTCTGGGGGAGCGCTCGTGCTGCTTTCAGGACTGAGGATGACTGTGTTCGCATCCCAAGGAAGGGTTCAGATAAGGAGTCCGGGAGTGCACCTCAAGCTCCCAGTGCTAGAAACAGAGATGGCTCTGCCCTGCCCCAGCTGGCTTGGGGCCACCCAGCCACTGAGTTTGCTGCTGCCAGACTGGGGGCCAGCCCAAGGAGGATGGGGCCAGTCTGTAACAGGAGATAGCAGCCAGCAACCTGCAGAGAAGCCTGGGCATCTGGGAGTGCAGGTCATCTGTGTGGGGTTCTGTGCCCACCTGCAGTATGGGGATGCATCCCTCCCTCTCCTGCTGGAGGCTGCCACCTTGGTTTTGAGCTGTTTATCCATATTGGGGTAGCACCTAGGAGCCCCAGCTGTGAACCAGTACCGCATGGTGCCAGGCGCTGTACAGACCCAACAGCGTCCCTGCCCCAAAGAGCTTCCAATCTAAGTATAAGACGAGATGACGGAGGGAGAGAGAGATGGGCACAAGGAAACAGAGACACTGTTGGTCAGTGTGATGGGCAGTGATCTCAGCTTGCCATGGTCAAGTTTTCCAGGAGTCAGGGCAAAGGGGAGTTGTAAGGAGGGATTTGAAGGCTAATGAGAGCTGTGCAGATGTCTGAGAGGAGCTATTCCCGAGTGAGAGGGGCAGCCTGGGAGCAGCCAGGGGACGGGAGGGGAGAGGGGTGACCTGCTCAAAGCAAGGGGCTAGGGGAACGAGCAGCAGTGGTCTCAATGGATGTGACCAGGGCATGGCTGTGCTGGCCAAGGCCAGCAAGTAATTGAAATGTGAGCTGCTGAGAGCCTGGCCGAGGGGTTTAGCTGGGTGGAGGAGAGGACAGGCCGTGTCTTAGAGATATTCTGCAAAAAGAATCTGAGACTTAACCAGAGCCTGGCTGTGAGGAGCTAGAGCGAGGTCCAGCTGAGGGGCCTGACCGGCAGGATGCTGCTGGTGTCCCCTGGGTGTGAGTAAGGAGGTAGAGGGGAGGGCTGGGGGCAGATCAGGAGCTCTGCTCTAGCCAGATGGTGCTTGAGCTGGTGGCCAGACACCCCCAAGGAGACATCAGGGCCAGGCTGAGGGGGTGGTTTGGGTGGAAGGAGGCAGGGCTGGAGCCAAGCGTGGGTCTGGGAGGCACCAGCAGAAAGATGGTCCTTGAATTTGTTTGTGGATGAGATTTAACGCCCCCTCGCACATTCCCAGAACACTGGGAGCATGTCTCAGCACGGTGCAGGCCTGTCCCCGCCAGCCTGAGGGCACGTGCGAGCTCACACTGCACGGGGCAGAGTGGCTCCCTCATCCGCTACCAGACTAACCCCCGGTACCGGCTGGGGGACAAGCCTCTCCGATAGGTTTAATACCAGACGAGTGGCCCCTGCTGCAAACGCCCGACGAGGGGAGAGGGGGGTGGACGTTCAGCTGCTGTCTCCTCCCACTCTGCCTGGGAACACCCCAAGGCCTAGGGCTGGCAGGTTCCCCATGCTGCCAGGATCCCGCTGCTCCTGGGGAGGGCTCCTGAGGGCTGCGCTGTGTGTTGACAAACATGCCGTGCTGGTTGCCAGGAGTTAATTAGCCCCAGCTGGTGGGGAAGGGGAGGCTGCGATCTCGGGGGCCTGCATCCTTCGGGCCGCCCCGGTTGCTAAAGCACTGCAGCATGTGTATAGAAAGCCTTGCTTCCCCACGGCCCTTCGGGCTGCTTATTTCAGGCTCCCGCAAGTTAAAAGGGCAGCAGAGAGGCCTCGGGAGGGTGTGGGGCACCATTCCTGCCCGCAGCACTTCACTGCCAGGCTGTGAGGGGAGCCAGACCTAGGGCAGATGAACTGAGTGCCCCTACATGTGCCAGCCCAGCGAGACGCCTTCCCTGCCAGGAGAGGCAGGAATGGTCAGTAGCCTTTTGCCACGAGAGCTGTTTCTATGGGCTGCCGCTGCTCCCTCACATGGGGCAATTTAAACAGGCCAAAGCCCTGGATGGGGCCTCTGGGGGGCCCCTCTCCAGCTCGATCGCCTGGGATCCAGCCTCTACATTAATGTTACCCCAGAGTCTAAGGCGTGACCCTGAAAAGCCTCATCAGCGTCACCCCCAGGGCTGCTCAGACCGGTTCTCTGATGCACCCTGCCAGGTGCGGAATGGGGCGTGTCGTGGGCCCTGGCACTGCCAGTAGCTGGGACTCCTGGGTTCTCTTCATAGTTACAGTGGAGTCCTGCTCCTCCCCCATGCCCCCAAGGGAGGGTATGGTTTCCTTGGTGACTGTAAAGGTCCTTGGCATTAGGGTGCTGGAGACGTGCAGGGCTCTGGGGGGTTCCTCCCATCTGGGGCGGCCCAGGGACTGAAATGGACAGGCCTGCTGCTCTCTGAGCAGGGTTCCTAGCCCGGCGGCTGGCAGGAGCAGCTGCCACAGGGGATGGTGCAAGTCACACGAGGGGCGGTAGTGGGGACCTGGCGGGGGCAACATTGGGGGTAGTGGGGCAGGGGGGGATGATATGGGGGCTGGGGTATTAGGGGTGATATGGGGGCTGGGAGGGGCAGTATGGGGCAGTGGGGGTGACACGGGGCTGGGAGAGGCGGTATTGGGGCAGTGGGGGGGTGATACGGGGGCTGGGGTGGTATTGAGGGTGATACAGGAGGTGGGAGAGGGTCAGGGGGCAGTATTGGGGCAGTGGAGGGTGATATGGGGCTGAGGGGGCATGGTGGGCTGTATTGGGTCAGTAGGGGGTGACACGGGGCTGGGGGCAGTATTAGGGCAATGGGGGTGATATGGGGATGGGGGCGGTATTAGGGCAATGGGGGGTGATATGGGGATGGGGGCAGTATTGGGGCAGTGGGGGGTGACGGGTCTGGGGGAGCGGTATTGGGGCAGTGGGGGGTGATACGGGGCTGGGGGGGTATTGGGGCAGTAGGGGGTGACACAGGGCTGGGGGGGTAGAAGGGGGTTGGGGGGTGACACGGGGCTGGGGAGGTAGTGGGAGGTTGGGGGAAGGTATTGGGGCAGTGGGGGTGATATGGGGCTGGGGGGTGGTATTGAGGCAATGGGGGTGAGTAGTGGGGGC